TCTTGTATGAAGTGATGCTAAGTGAAATGAGCAGAATTAGGAGAATACTGTATACATTAACAGCATTATTGTAACTGATCAACTATGAAAGACTTAGCTACTCAGATCAAGAAAATGATCCAAGACAATTAAAAGGACCCAGGATGAAAAATGATATCCACTTCCAGAGAACTAATGAACTCTGAGTACAGATATAAACATACTTTTTTTCACTTTCTTTATCTTTCTTGGTTTTTTGGTGTTATCTTTTGCAACATGGCTTGACTTCATACGTATAATATATTGCTTGCCTTCTCAAGGAGTGGGAGAGACGCTGGAGATAGAGAGGTAGAAAATTTGGAGCTCAAAAGTTTAAAAAATGAATTTTAAAAATTTAAATATAACTGGGAAATAATGGATTAAACAAAAATATATTTAAAAAATAAATATGAGGAATAGTTCTCAGCTGATAAGATGAGGAGGAGAAGCTATAGAAAGTGTAATCTATCTGTAATATGGGGGTAATGCTATCTGCTCCAAGGTTACAACCTGCTCCCCTTAGCAGTCTGGAGACTAAGATTCTGAAACTTTCTGAGGAAGGATCCAATAAGATTAGACAGTAAACTCTAGAAGAGATTATCTAAATTTTGTATATTCTCCATCACCTAGCACTCTATGAATGAATAAATGAAAGAAAAAGCATTTATTACATTTTTACTATGCGCCAAGTACTAAAGATAGAAACAGAAAAAACATAACAATATCTGATGTCAAGGGTCTCACACTTTAATTTGGGGAGACAACATATGCTCCCTATTGCTTATTGGGAGAAAGGAATTATAGGAAGGGCAGATTAATAAAAATGCTTATTACTTGAAAAATAAAAATAATAAACTAAAAAAAAAGAGAGAGTTCAGTTGCAGGGTAAATGGAAAGATCCCAGGAGTTCTTAGAGTATAGCAGCAGGTCATAAGGCAGTGTGCTGGGTAGGTGACCAGACACGATGGTCCTCCTCACCAAAAGGACTGCTGTACCTCCCCCCCCATCTCAAATATATCTGAAAGAGAATTCATTACTGAATTCAACAAATTAAACAAAAGATGCCCTTAACTCTAACTTTTCTCTTTCTGTTGATGTTACTACTATTCTCCCAGCAACAGCCAGGTTTGTAACTTTAGAATCATCTTTTATTCTTCTCTTTTCCTCATCCCAAATTTCCACCTTGAGAAGCAGCATGATTTGTGGTACATAAAAAGCACCAACTACCCATGAATATCAAAGAAATAGGTTTGAAGGCAAATTCTGACATTTACTAGATGCCTGGCCATAGGTAAATCATTTAATGTATCTTAGCTTGGTTTTTTCACCTTTAAAATGGAGATAATAGTACTTGTAAGTATTTATCTTATAGGATTTTACATAGGATCAGTTGAGATAACCTAAGTAAACCCTCTGCATGCTTAATGAACCATGAAAAATGTATTTATTTCTCTAGCTGCTGAGTCCACTACAATATCTTTTTCATTAGTCCTCTCCTCTCTATTTCCATTGTAAGCACTTTTAATTAGCCCCTCATATTTTCTGCAAACTTGAAAACACTGAATAAATTTCAGTTATCTCCATTATCTCAATGTCAAGGATCTGTGATTTCAATGGTATGAGGACTCCTTCCACTAATTCAGGTTACTATCTTGTCATAATTTAGTAGCTATATCTTAGGGAGTTAAGTGAAGTTCAGAGAGTTTAAGTGTGATTTGCTCTCAGTCATTTATTAGTAAGAGTTAATTAGGCACAAAATTTGAATATAGGTCTTCTTGATTCCAGGTCTAGCATTCTATTACAACTGGACATTTCTTCATCACGATCACCAATATTAATTTTCTTCAATTATTTATTTATGTATTTTTAGTTTTCAACATTCACTTCCACAAAGATCGTCTCTCTCCTCCCCTCAGCCCAAGATGGCATGCAATCTGATATAGGCTCTACTTATACATTCATATTAAGCATATTTTCACATTAGACACGATGTATACAAAATTAGAACTAATGGGAGGAACCATGAGAAAGAAGAAACAAAACAAAACAACAAAAGAAAAGGAGAGCAAACCGTATGCTTCCACTTGCATTTAGACTCCATAGTTCTTTCTCTGGATGTGGATAGCATTGTCCATCACGAGTCTTTTGGAGTTGTCTTAGATCTTTGCATTGCTGAGAAGAGCTAAATCTATCAAAGTCAGTCATCGAACAATGTGGCTGGTACTATGCACAATGTTCTCCTGGTTCTGCTCATTTCACTCAGCATCAGTTCATATAAGACTTTCCAGGTTTTTCTGAAATCCGCCTGCTCATCATTTCTTATAGCACAATAGTTTTTCATTACATTCATATACGACAGTTTGTTCAGCCATTCCCCAACTGATGGACATCCTCTCAATTTCCAATTCTTTGCCACCACAAAAAGAGCTGCTATAAATATTTTCGTACATATGGGTCCTTTTCCTATTTTTATGACCTCTTTGGGATACAGACCTAGAAGTGGTATCGCTGGGTCAAAGGGTATGCAGTTTTACAGCCCTTTGGGCAGAGTTCCAAATTTCTCTCCAGAATGGTTGGATCAGTTCACAACTCCACTAACAATGCATTAGTGTTCCAGTTTTTCCACATCTTCTCCAGCATTTATCATTTTCCTTTTTGTCATGTTAGCCAGTCTGCTAAGTGTGATGTGGTACCTCAGAATTGTTTTGATTTGCATTTCCCTAATCAAGTGATTTAGAGCATTTTTTCATATGACTATAGATAGCTTTAATTTCTTCCTCTGAAAACTGCCTGTTCATATCCTTTGACCATTTATCAATTAGGGAATGACTTGTATTCTTATAAATTCAACTCAGTTCTCCATATATTTTAGAAATTAGGCCTTTATCAGGGACACTGGCTGTAAAAATTGTTTCCCAGCTTTCTGCTTCCCTTCTAATCTTGGTTACATTGGCCTTGTTTGTGCAAAAACTTTTTAATTTAATGTATTCAAAGTCATCTATTTTGCCTTTCATAATGTTCTCTATCTCTTGTTTGGTCATAAATTCTTCCCTTCTCCATAGATCTGATAGGTAAACTATTCCTTGCTCTTCTAGTTTGCTTATAATATCAGTCTTTATATCTAAATCATGTACCCATTTTGACTTTATCTTGGTATAGGGTGTAAGATGTTGGTCTATGCCTAGTTTCTGCCATACTATTTTCCAGTTTTCCCAGCAGTTTTTTGCTAAATAGTGAGTTCTTGACTCAGATGCTGAAGTCTTTCTATTTATCAAACAGTAGATTACTATAGTCATTGACTGTTGTGTCTTTCATACTTAACCTGTTCCATTGATCTACCACTCTATTTCTTAGCCAGTACCAAGTAGTTTTGATGATTGCTGCTTTATAATACAATTTAAGTTAAGATCTGGTACAGCTAGACTACCTTCCCTTGCATTTCTTTTCATTAGTTCCCTTGACATTCTGAACCTTTTGTTCTTCCAGATGAATTTTGTTATTTTTTTCTAGCTCTATAAAATAACTTTTTTGGTAGTTTGATTAGTATGGCACTGAATAAGTAAATTAATTTAGGTAGAATTGTCATTTTTATTATATTAGCTTGGTCTACCAATTGAACAACTGATATTTTTCCAATTATTTAGATCTAACTTTATGTGTGTGAAAAGTGTTCTGTAATTGTGTTCACATAGTTCCTAACTTTGTTTTGGCAGATAGACTCCCAAATATTTTATAATGTTTACAGTAACTTTAAATGGAATTTCTTCTTTTGCTGTTGGGCTTTATTAGTAATATATAGAAATACCAATGATTTATGTGGGTACCAATATTATTTTGCCTAAGAAATTTTCCTGATGAATTGCTTTGATCATGTCACTCCTTTACTTAAAAAAAATCAAAGTTGGAAGGTACCTAAGGGATCATTTAGTTTAAGGATTCTTAGCCTTTCTGTGTGTCAGGGACCCCCCCCCCCAGCATTTTGTTGAAAACCCTTTCTCAAAATAATGTTTTTCAATGCATAGAATAAGACACTTAGGAAACAAATTAGATTGAAATAGATACCAAACTATATTGTTTAAAGTTCACAGATCCTAGGTTAAGAACCTCACTATAAGCCAACACTTTCATTTTATAAATGAGGAAACATAGCTCCAGAGGGCTGAAATGACTTGTCCATAGTCAGAAAGTTAGAAAATGGTCATGCTGGGATTTTAACTTAGCCCAACTTCAAATTCAATCCTCTTTCTGCTACATTCTGCCACCTTTAAAGGGGATCTGTACTTTAGCTTGGCCTGGACCTGTGAGATATGTATATGTGTTTACGAATATCTATACAAATACATAAATCACACACATATATATTGTAGCCCCCATACTACTGAGGGGAGCAGGTTACCACTGGGCAGGGGTACTGTTACCCCTATTTTACACAGATAGGAAAAGAGAGCACACAGAATTAATCTAAGGGGAATATAAAGATTTGCCTACTAGATGATAACAATAAACACTTTTAGACATACATCCATATATGCACAAATATATGATCACAGATCTAGAGCTGGAAGGGTTTTAGGTCACCTAAAATGACATATTATGTATGCATACACATACATATGGGTACATATTATTATGAACATGGCCACGTATAGATTATTACAGCTACATCTGTGTATATACAGATGTCCATGGAATGTATTGTGTATACAAGAAGGTATTGCATATACATATTCATGCACACATATAATTGTATGTATCTATTATGTGTACACATATGCATGCATATTGGATGACCCAAAGCACCTTCCAACTCAAGATTATATATACATATATGTATCTGTGTGAGTCCAGGTCAACATCCTCTAGGCCAAGCGATTCTCAAAACATTTTTTGTCTTAAAAATAGAGGAAAACTCCCCTCCCCCTCTCTGAAATTTGGTTTATGTGGGTTATATCTACCCTGGGAGTTGCGTGGGTCATATTTACCCTGTTAGAAACTAAAGCGTCTGCAGCATTCTCATGAACACAGTCCTGCCTGCAGACCCCTGGCACGGTCCTGAAGACGCAGCAGCTCGGACTGGCGCTGCTCGCAGCGCGCGCCCGCGGTGCTCCTCACCACCGCTCCGGCCGCTCCGCAGCCCCTCGCGCGAGGGTTCCTGGGCCCGACGGGGACGGCGGGAGGACTCAGTTGGCAGAAGCACCGGAGGGGGGCGTGTCAGGAAGTCGGGGAGCGGAGCTGTAGCGGCGGAGGGGACAGGGGCACGAGCCGCTCCGCGGGATCCTAAGGGCTGGCGGCCTCGGGGACAGCGGCCGCGGGGCTCAATTGAACTTGAGGATACGACGGCGGCTTCGGGCGCCTCGGGCCGGGCGATGGAGGAGAAAGAAGGTAATGGAGACCCCCGCCCCGCCGGGGCCTCCTCGGGGAACTGGGAGCGGGGCGGGGCGTCGGGAAGAGGGCTGGTGGGGCTGGGGAGGAGCTGCACGAGTAACGTCGGGGGGGGATGGGAGAGGAGGCGGCGGGGGGAGGTAGGAATATAGGGGAGGGGGGCGAGGGCAGTAACTTTTGTGGGGTAGAGAGGAAGGAGGAGGTGTTGGAGGGCTGTTAAATCTGGGGGAGTTGATTGGGGGGGTGAGAGAGTAGTTCCATTTGTGAGAGTTGGGAAGAAGGGGGATGGTAGGGCAGCAACATTTAGAGGAGTTGGTAAGGAGGGGGATGGGAGGGCAGGAATATTTGGGGAAGGAGAGAAGAAGGGGGATGGTAGAGCAATAAAATTTGGGAGAGGGGGGCAGATGTTAATGAGAAGGAAGTAACATTTGTGGGGTGGGAGGTGGGAAGCAGGAGTAAGGAGGCAGTTAGCATTTGGAGGAAGATGAGTAAGGGCATTTAGGGGAGACTTAGACTGTTTTGAGGAAAGTGACTATTGATCGGTGCTGAGATTAGTACTTGAAGGTAATAGTCGCTTTTTGAAAGAAATGAGAAGGGAGTCTTTTGTGTGTGGTTTGCTTTATCCTTATTAGAGATAGGGGTTGAGTTGGGAAGTATGAAAGGAGTTGAATAGAGTGTTCTGGTCCTCAAAAAGCATTTCTGAAGTTCTTATTTGGGGCGCGCAATAAACATTGTTGTGATTCCAAACAGTACTAGATTAGGTCTTAAGGCTGGGGTGGGGGGGAGGTCATTAGCTCGGGAAGGTGATAAAAAGAGGCAGGGTTTGGGAAAAGTGGGATAAGACTAATTGGGGGAATATTATAAATGGAGGAGAAATATTCAGATAAGAATAATGGATTTGGGGGGCCTAAGTCTCAGAAAACTTCCAGGGTTGATTGGTTAGGGGATGATATGAAAAGTTTGGGAAGGCAGGGGATATGGTTGAAGATGAAGAAAGGTGCTCTGGGGCAGAATTAAGACTTTGAGGGACTTATTGAAGAAGAGGTTGTTGGGCGTGCATTAAAATGGACCTCTAAATTGTATAAACAGTTCTCCCTCCTCAAAACTTGTGTCTACTTGACCAGTGAGAGCATTAACTGAATATGTGATAAAACATGAGGGCCATAGGGAACAATAAGTGGTACAGGATAGGACCTGGTAGAGTTTGTATATTGCTGCCACTGAATAATAGGCAATAATGCTAGTAATAAGGGCATAAGTAAGTAATGACGTAGTGGTGGTGGTTTTTACGTGGAACTAAGTGTTTGTATTCCTGAGTAGGGGTGATATTTTGCCATAGAAAGGGTTATAGTGTGTGTGATGTACAGTTTGGTCTAGTTGAGATCTAAATTTTTTTCAACTAAATAGAACATTTTGAGTTCAGTGGAAGAATTGTAGCTTCCTGTGCCTTACTGCACTAAATTCTATGGCTGTATAGACTTGGTTGCCTCCCGTTTGAGGTTTCAGAGTTGACATAAATTTTACTTTATAAAAGCAGCTTCAAAACCAAATGGCTCCTTTGTGGTTGATAATGTATACTACATAGACTCATTTATGAACTTGTTTTTGTGTGGGACAGCGACCCTAACCCAAATTGAACTCAGAGACTTCTCAGGGTGGAAAGCAAAGGTTACCTTTATTACAGTCTCTCCAGACGGCTGTCTGCTCCTCCGGTGCAGGTAGGAGAGAGAGACAGCATGCAAAAGGAAATGGGATTGATTATATACTGTAATGCAAACAAATCCCCACCCACCACTGTCCCTTATTCCCATTGACTGGGGAGGTGGGCCTACTGTCTAGGTGTGAAATAGTTTCTTCCTATCCCCTTCTCCCTTATCCCAGAGATAAGAGGAAGGTGGGAAGCCAAGGGCAAACAGTTCAGGTTGGGGGCAGGGCTTATTCTTTCTGTTAATATGCTTAAAAGCAAGGTCTGAGGGGGTGAGGATTTTGAAAGTAATAATCAAGAATTATCAACCTTTGAGGAGGCTTCACTTTTGAGAGTTGATCTCTCACATTTTCATCTTATGACTATAGTGTGGTGTTAGAAGATCAAGCAAACCTCCTTTTTCATAACCCAATTAAAGATTATTTCATAATGTCTTTTCCTGATGAATTTCAAGTGTATGATAGCTTGAATATTCCTTTTTGTATTTTTGTAATTATCAGAAACCTTTTCCAAAGCTTTTTTTTCCTCTTAAAAACTACACAGGTAAAAATAAAGAAAATAGGGGGAAAATAAATGGTTCTGTGATGTAATAATGTTTATTTTACTGTAATGGTGAGTTTTAGTATTTTGGTTATCTGATATTTTTTGAATAATGTTTTCCTTTTTTGGTGCTTTATCATAAAAAATGTTATAAATTAATCAAGAGATAACAAAATACCCTTTTGGGTTGATGTTCTAAACTCTTTTGGAGGTGAAAGTGACTTTGCACAGGCCTTCCTCACTTAAATCCAATTTACTTGCAAGTCTTGGCATCATCTTCCTGGTGTTATGGTCCTCTTAGATAAGGACACACATGCAATTTTGGGATACACTATAGCTGCTAACTCTTTTGCACAACAAAACTGGAATGGTAGTCATTCCTTTACTCCTCTTTTTTAATATGCTTGAATAGGGATTGGCTAACTATGGCCTGCAGCACTATTGCCTGTTTTTGTATGGGTCTTCTACTTAAGAATGGTTTTTTCATTTTGAAATGTTAAATTTAAAATCAAATGTGGCAGCTTTGTTCAATAATAAAATCCTCATTTAAATATATTAATTTGATTTAAAAAATGAAAAATCATATTATAAAAGTGTTTAATCTGAAAACAATAAGAACTAAACAAAGATAATTTTATTTGAAATTAGTTGAATAATATACCATCTTAATAAAATAGTATCATCTTCTCTCATATGTAGTACATTGGACTAACAGTATTTTGTGTTTTTCCAAAATGCTTTAACTTGCATTATATTTTCTATGGTCAGACTGAATATTTCATATTTTTACCTGACATTTGTTCAGACATTATTATCCCTTCATTTTAAATATTCTCTGATATCTTTTGTTTGAATCCTTTTTTACAAGAGAATTAATATATAATATGAATATTCACTTTTTATACCTTTCCCCCCATTTTTGTGGCCTCTAAATTTATGTATTTTCATAAATATGTTATCTATAAGTAGGATATAGGTTTGTTATTTTATATGAGATTCATAGTTTGGAAAACACCTTCTGATGTTGGTAGAAAGATTCCTCTATCTTAGTCACGTTCTTTGAAGCTCTGCAGTCAGCTTGTCCCTGAAAGGGCTACTAGTCTCTTAAAAACATGAAAGTCAAGGTCTTCAGATTAAACAATAATAATAATAATAATAATAATAACAGTAATAGATAGCGTTTATATAGCTATTTAAGGTTTTAATTAAACGATTTGCTAGGGTCATACAAGTAGTAAATGTCTGAGGCTGGATTTGAACTCAGGGCTTCCTGGCTTCCTGGCCTAGTGCCCAATGCTGCCTAGGTATGATAAATGTTTGGAAGAAAGTAATCAAGAGGTGAAAGTACTCAACAGAGCAGTAGTAATATTTTTCTTGAGTAATTATTTCTTTTCAGATTGTTTGAAATAAAATCTTACTGATAGTCTCTGAAGAATTTGATTTGCTTTGTGCATTAGAAATATCTGTCACTATTTATCTTAACAAATATATAGAGTAACTAATGAGTAATGAGCAAAGTGTGGGAGTTGGAGTTTTTGTTTTATTTTTAAATGTATGAAAATAATCATTCCAATTCAGCAGTCACCTATTGGCAGACACCTATGCCTTACTCCCTATGCAGCCTTGGGCAAGTCACCTAACTTCTAAGGCCTCATTTTTCTCACCTATAAAATGATATGTTTATTTTATATGACCTCTAAGGTATATTCCAATTCTAAATCCATGATTCTATGACTGTAGCTTAAGAAACTGAGTGTGTGTGTTTGTGTGTGTGTGTGTGTGTGTATGTGTGTATGTATTTCCATTGATTACATTGTGTGATCACTAAAGCAGCTACTGTATAACTGACCCCAGGAGCTAAGCAGTGAGACTTAGTTAAGCAGTTCTACTACCTAGACGTGTTTGAAGCCTGCAGCACACTAACCAAGACAGTTAAGCCCAGACTAAAGGGAAGCTTGACACTGAACTTGCAGAGCTGACTGACAGTGGCTAAGTCTAGCAATAATTTAATGTAACTCCAACCAGGGGATGAGGCCACAGTTGTGTTGCTCAGAACCAAATGCATGTCAGGAATTTGTAGAGTTTAGAATGCAGTGCTTAGACTTCATCCTAAATCTCCTTTGGGAGCATTGAAAGCTTGCAGATCCCCAAACAGCTATCCTTGAGATCTAGAATAGTATAACATTTACATCCAGTGAAGATGGTGATAGTGATTTGTAGTGCTTTATGATTTACAAAGTACTTTTCATATATTAACTCATTTCATCCTCATAATAACCCTGTGAAGTAGGTGCTATTCTTATCCTCATTTTACAGATGAGTAAACTGAGACACAGATTAAGTGACTTGCTCAGGGCCAGACGGCTGGTGAGTTTCTGAGTCCAGATCTGAGCTGAGGTTTTCTTTACTCCAAGTTCCACACTGTCTGTTGAACCCCACAATAATAGCAGGGCCCCAAGAGGTAACAGTGTCGGCTCAGCCCAGACATTCCTTCCAGAAGTGTGGCAGAGTCTGGCCCTAACAAAAAGTCTAAAGTTAAGAAGTAGGTAGGAAGAATGAACAAATATCATAAAGAAATACTTCTTTGATGACAGGGATTTTTAATTCACAAACTCAGAAGAAGAGAATGACTCCAAAACTTCTACAAGCAAAGCCACAGAGAACAACACAGCTTGAGCACAGGTTGAACTAGAATTCCTGGAGGAGATGAAGCAAGAGTTTGGGGGTTTTTTTGGGGTTTTGTTTTGTTTTGGTT